TTATTTAATGCATAACTCTAGTTTAAATTGAGAACAGACACGCAAGTAAATTTAGTTAGTTGATGAAAGTGTCAACCGCTGTATCCTCTGAGTTAGTTACCTCAAGTTAGTTTGCAATTCAGCAGTTACTTCGGTTGATTTTAGCCTAAAATGTTTCAATGTTTCTTTTAGATAAATAACAATGTTTATCATTGGACACACAATTTGTTTTAAAATAATTCAAAAGTGATTTTCCATTTATAAATAGGGTTTTTTTCTTAAAGGAAAAAAGAGGAAAAGGAAAAGAAAATTAAAAATTATTCTTGATAAATAAAGAAAAGGCATTATAACCTCATTTATTCAGAAATATATTGCAAATGATGCTTTAATAAATGTAAATCAAAATTTTCGTTGTTCAGAAAGTCAAAGCATTTTGAAACAACTTTCCATGTTGTATCATGAAAATATTATTATAATTAAAGAGTTACACCTTTTTATTTATTGAAATTTTATTAATAGTATTTTGAAAGAATCACTCTTCAATATCACTGTTTTGCTATTAAATTCATTTGAGAAAATGTTTCCAAAATTAAAATAATTAATAGTTTTTCAAATATTAATTAAAATATTTTCTATAATAAGAAGGAATTTATTATTAAAAATTTCTTTGGAATAAAAAAAAAAATACTAGAAAAATATTGAGGTCAAAATATACATTCATATCAAAAAATAATAACGAAATACATAAAACTAATTCATAAAAGAATAAAATCACTCATTAAAAACCTATTTAAATTCAATGTTTTTTTCAGGTATTTAAAAATGCTTATTAATAAAAAAATAATTTGTTTCCTAAAATAAATACTTTTCTTCAAAATAGAAGAAAAAAATATTTTAATTTATAGAAATGGTTTCGTTTTTGAGGTAAAAAGAAAATTGAAATCTCAAAAATAATTATTCTATTGACAATCATTGGTCTAGAAAATTGTATCATTTATGTACCTGTTTTAAAATAATTTGCATACAAAATGTCAGAGAGTTCGATATATTTTTAAGGTTGCTTCGCATTTTCCGGAAAAAAAGTTTAAATGAATAGTCTATAGATTCAACGTCTCCAAAAGGAAACTTTTTCGTCCCACAGATACATATAAAACCACATCTATTTTAAGATAGTTTGAATTTTATATTATTTATTTGCCTTTTCTTCACTTTATATTTTCCAACTTCAAAGTTTTAAAATTATTTTCTTATTTAAACTATCTATATTCTATAAATTTTCTTTAAATATAAATATTATAGTAAAAAATAATGTCTCAATCATATTTGATTAAGTAACTTTTCTCTTACTCATTCAAAGAAAAATAAAGCACTAATTTTCGCTTGTCTACTCTTTTGAAGAAATTGCTCTGATAAAACTTTACTGAGCTTAAATCAATGCTATATTTTGTATTTTTTGGAGAATAATCTCACAAAAAATATTATTGAACTATTTACGATATTCTTTCGCGTATTTAGCATAAAAGTATATTTCAAATATTTCTAGTATAACTATATTACGTCAAAATGCGATATCATTTGCATAAAATAACTTATAACTACTTAAATAGTTTTGAATTTCTCCCAGTTGATACATAAATTTAGGTAGAAGCATAATAATAAATGAAACAAATTTTTTTGTTTCATTCAGATAAGGGTTTACTAGGCCTAACTATTGTTTAACTATGCCTCTAAATATTATATTACTCCAAGAATAAACTATTATATAAGAAAAATGAATAAATGATACACTTAGTTATAAGTGAAATTCACAAAACCGCAATTTTGATTCATTTAATGTAATTTCTCTCCATGACATTTAAATAAATATTCATTGACAGAGATTTGGTTACATATAGAACTTTATAATATGCTTATATTAAGATTGTTTCGTTAACTACTTTATTATATTGAAATACAGAAAATTGAAGTTATTATATTATATATATATTATTATATCGAAATTAGAAATGATTCGAAAATTACAAGAATCAGTTTCAATTCGTGCAGAAATCTAATAAATGTTATGAAAGAGCTTATTATCTGCTTTTCAACATAATTCTATGGCAAAATATGGTTATAATGAATAAAGTATTATCTAATTAATAAATTATCTTACTACAGCACATTCTGGGCTGAAAGGATTAATTGATTACAAATTCCAAACATTTGACACTTTAATCATTAGTTGTTTTATTATTCAATATCTCTCAACAATGGAGTTATGATCATGGTACACCTGTCCAAAACTTCAAATATTCAAAGATTGAAAAGAAAAACTGAATAAAACATAAAATAATTAATAGAAACACCAAATTCATTAAAACACCTGTATTTAACATTTTAATGAAAATCTTGATACAAATATGATGGTAATAGTCCTCATTATTATATAATATTTAATTCCTTTTACTTTCTGCATTTTAAAGATAATAACTACTGAATGTGAATTTATTCGTTTAATTATTAGTTTTTTTAAAATTATTTTTTATAATATTAATAATTTTATTAAATCTGACATTTGTGAGCGTTAGACTTTGTGATTTGAATCTAAATTGAATGATGAAACTAATATATGAATCGTCTTTATAGTAGTTTTATTATATTATTATTATAACACTATATTGAAAATTTTCATCTTACATTTTTTGTAAATATTTTCTTTTATGAAAAAGTACAAATTAGTAAATTAAAAATTCTTACTTCGTAGTTCGTAAATGGTTTAGCCAACAAAATTAAATTGCCGTATATTTTTGTGTATAAGCCGATAGGTTTTAGAAGGTTTTTAAAGTTAAAATACAGGAATCGGCTTATATACGGGTCAGTTCATCACTAAAACAATTTGGTATTTTTCTGTTTGCCTGGTGAAAGAGATAAATTGCCAAATATCGGTAAATAAAGCACGTTTTTATTTATTCAGTTTATATTTCCTAAGTGTAATACAGGAAAAAAAATAAATAAAATGAGTTATTCATTTTATAAAAGTGAGTTGTTTTATTTTCGAAATTGTTCATATTGTTGGTTTGTTGCGTCGTCGCCAAAATGAAAAATCTGATGTTTGCACAATTTTCACTCAAATAAATGAAAAACTTAACTTAAACTAAAAATAATACTAAAGTATCTTAAATAATGAACATTACATATTGTTTCCGTGTCAGTTTATATACAGGTTTAGAACTATGGTAAATGTTTTGAAGAAAATAAAGCACTATTGCCTTATATTTAAAAATATATATTGACGGCTTCTAAAAATTTCTAATAAAAACTGAATATCAAAAGGTGTATTCATGCATTAAAATGACATATTTCCAATTCAGATACAGATCATTTTAAGACCAGTATCGCTTGATTCTCGTCTTAATAATACAATTAAAATAATTTTGGTAAAAAAATTTGTTTTGATGTTTTAATAATATTTATTGATATTATTTATTAATATTAAGAAAATAAATGAATTTTGTAGGAATAAATTTTGCTATTCAGTATTTGAAATTATTTACACATTTTAAGTAATATGTTGTTTGTTGTTTCTTATCCCACTTGGCTGGCCAAACCCACGAGCCCATACGTACTCATGATTGAAGGGGAAGGAAGCAGCTTCTATTGTGATGGAGCACCCGTAGGTAGAAGTCTGACTTTTGCTCCGTGACGCTCTTACAGTCATAGGAGACCGGGACCTACGGCTTAAAGTGGATTCCGAACCACTACAAACATCCATGGCACCGCCGGGATTCGAACCCGAAACCTGTGGCACCGAGCGCCAGAGCGCCAGACACTCGGCCATTCAGGTCCCAAATTTGCCAACGGCACTCAGTGTTCCCGGGTGGTCACCCACCCAAGTACTGACCGCGCCCAATGATGCTTAACTTCGGTGATCTAACGAGAACCGGTATATTCAGCATGGTACGGCCGTTGGCTATATCTTGCTCTTATAAGGCTTAGGTTTACAACTAATAATTTGTAAGAAAGATGAAACGAATAATCCGAAACTTAAGTTTTAAAATACATTTTATTTTAATTCTTTATAACCATTCGTATTTATATTAAGCATCATCACTAATTTTAACTTTTATTAATATATAAAATCAAATAAATATATGTATAGTTCAATTACGTAACGCATATAATATTACATTTTATATTTTTATTCTGCTAAAATAGGCTCAGATAAATCCCGATTTATCCACTTTGTATAACCAAACACTTTTTTAATAAAACTCCTTCAATTTTTAGTAAGTTGCCCGTGATTCACTCTACTTTCCAAAACACAACGCTTTTACCGCATACGGTTTATTTCTATTGGCTGTACAAAAAATAATTGTACAATTTACCACTCATTTAAAATAATAGTATAAAAGACTAAACCTTATGATGGGAAAACACTGCCATCTTAAAATATAAATAACCTGAAAACAGCAAAGCCGGCATCATTGAATATATATAAATTCTACAAAGAGTTTATCTATTCATTTATTTTATAATTCCAACGGAACATGTTAAAATCAAGGTACTATTTCAAAAGCAGGAAGAAACTAATTAGTGAATTAATCTTAGATACTTAGTGTCAGAAATTGTTTAGATTAACCATTTAATATTTAGACATTATGATTACTCTTATGGGCTTCTTATATATATATGGCCCATATATATGGGCTTCTTATATATATGGGTTTCTTATCTTATATATATCTGTTGTTGTTGTTGTTTCTTATCCCACTAGGGTGGCCAAGCCCACGAGCCCATATGGCCTCATGATTGAAGGGGAAGGAAGCAGCTTCTGTTGTGATGGAGCACCCGTAGGTAGAAGTCTGACTTTTGCTCCGTGACGCTCTTACAGTCATAGGAGACCGGGACCTACGGCTTAAAGTGGATTCCGAACCACTACAAATATCCATGGCACCGCCAGGATTCGAACCCGAAACCTGTGGCACCGAGCGCCAGAGCGCCAGACACTCGGCCATTCAGGTCCCAAATGTGTGAATGCCAACGGCACGCGGTGTTCCCAGGTGGTCACCCACCCAACTATTGACCGCACCCAATGATGCTTGACTTCGGTGATCTATCGAGAACCGGTATATTCAGCATGGTACGGCCGTAAGTAATATAAATGCAATATTACACATTTGTATTCGAAATGTTCAAAATTGATAAAACGTAGCAGTGGTTATATTAGGATAAGAAACCAAATGATTTTTTCTCTATAAAAAACCATAATTACAAGAATAAAATATCACACATTTCATATTAAATTTAAAGAGATTCCTAAAAATATATGAAAAAACAGAGCGGTTATTAAAAAGCGTTTATCGATATATGAGTCCGTAACTATCCTACCATCCACAGAAGCTGAGTGAAATTTTGGTTTCAGGTATTTTGAGAGTTTACGGTTAGAGTGACAAAATTTCGAAAATTTAAAATACAATGAAAATAAATACAAAACGAAATTTTACATAGTAAAGAAAAATTTTAGGAGGTTTGTTGAACAAACTGAAAATGTATTGTACATTTTGGCTTTGTTTTAAATATAATAATATCATAATATACTAAATTCCAAAACATTTATCAAACAATCCAAAAAATTATGAATTTAAAATTTCTATTAATTACAATTAAGTGAAATTTGACATAAAAGCATTGTTCAAATAGTATTTTACAAGATAGTACACAAAAGAAAAACTATATTAAATTTTTGAAATTAATTAAAAAATGTCAAGATGAAAGTTCCTTATTCCTGATTCTTTATCTAAATTTTAAAAAATTTATGTTCTAATTAAATTTTTTAACAGTTTTCTTTCTGAATAAGGTTTAATAATCTTTAACTTTCATTTTAAAATTATATATTTTTCTTTATTCTCAATTACATTATACAAAGACGTTGAAATAAACATTTGTTACATATCTTTAATTAAAATTTTTACATGAATATTAAAGCACACACATTCAAATTAAAATATGCATAAATTAAATAAAATGCGCTTAATAAAGCAGCTTTTATGGTATGAAAGATAAACAAGAATAATAGTTAGTGCAGATTGAGAAATAAAACGGAGACATTAATTATACACTTAAATATTATCATTTAATTTCTCAATGTTTACTTGAGATTTTGAATGTTAAAGTTTAATTAATATTAAATGTTTAATATTTAAACTTCAGTTAATATCCTGGTATTAAATGAAGTAAAAAATGAAGTAACAAATAGAATAAATAATCAAATATAAAATTGAGTAAAAAATCAAATATTAATTGGTGTAAACAATCCAGTATTAATGGAGTAAATATTAAAATATTTAATGGCGCATATATTGTGATATTGATGTTTCCAAAACTGCTAGTAAGGTTTTATTATAATCCACTTAAGTTTCAATTATTTACATGCATTTTTCAGATAATACCATTCATTAAGTTTGTTTTCATCAATTACTCTGTCAGTTTAATATTAAGATAACCTGATAATCAAGTTAACGTAATTTAATGCAGCATAGTTCAGTACTTAGAAATATATACGTATTTTGATAAATATAACATTAAAAATTGCAATATAGTAAAAAAAAAATCAGAATTTCGAGAGTAAGATGATTCACATTTTTTTCTCTCTATTTATCATAAACTTATATATAAACTCATGTTTGTGAAAATTGCAACACCATGAAGGACTTAAGCGAGTGAGCTGAAATTTTCACGAAATGCAAATTAGCGCATGATATGCAAATGATTAGAATTTCAAATCCGTAGATGCGCTACGGATTTGAAATTCTAATCATTTGCATATCATGCGCTAATTTGCATTTCCTGAAAATTTATTAATTAGAATTAGAATTTGCATATGCTGAGCAGCGCCCTTTGAACGGCGGAAGGATCCGAATAAATAGACGGCTATAGCGAGGCGTGTCTGGCTATAGGTGGTTATTTGCTAGTGGTAAACGTTAGCTCAATTGTTACTTATGCCTCTTCGACGAAAGAAAGCGAGATTTGAACAACTTACAGAGTTTGAACGGGTAAGAATCATCAGCCTTCGTGAAGCTGGGTTGTCTTATCGTGCAGTAGCCGCTCGTGTGCAGCGTAACAGCAGCAAAGTGATGCGTCTTTGGAAGCAGTGGACGGACGAGTGTCGGACAACTCAGAAATCCGGGAGTGGACCCCGAAATGTGACGTCAGCTCGCGATGATAGACACCTGGTCCGCATGGCGCTGACGGACCGTACAACTTCATCTACACAATTGTCTGCACAGTGGTCAATAGCTACAGGTGTTTCATTGTGTGCTTCATCAATTCGTAGACGTCTGCTGCAGCGTGGACTGCGCGCAAGGACTCCTTTATACAGGATCCCTCTCATGCTAAACCATCGCCGCCTGGGGCTACAATGGGCCGCTCAGCATAGAGACTGGCGTGCTGATTGGCAGCATGTCGTGTTTTCTGACGAATCCCGCTTTAATTTGTGGTACCATGATAGCCGCATTCGTGTCAGACGCTATGCCGGTGAACGCCACCTTCCGGAATGTATTACCGAACGCCACAGTGGACGAACACTCGAAGTTATGGTCTGGGGTGCCATAGCATATCATGGACGATCTCAATTGCTAAGAATTGTGGACAATCTGAACAACAACCGGTACATCAGTGAAGTTCTACAGCCCCAAACTGTGCCCTTCCTTCAAAGCTTGCCAGGCGCTGTATTTCAACAGGACAATGCCCTCCCTCATATTACTAGGACTGTTCAATCCTTCTTTGCAACGCGGAAGGTACAGCTTCTTCCTTGGCCTGCGTATTCCCCGGATATGTCACCGATTGAATATGTGTGGAATTTCGTTGGTCGGCGTCTCGCTCGTGATCCTCGTTCTGTTACTTCTGCAGACGAACTTTGGGTGCGCATACAAACAATATGGAATGCACTTCCTCAGGCAGACATTCAAAATTTGTTTGACTACATGCCACGTCGTGTAGCAGCACTTATTGCGGCGCGTGGTGGCAACACAAAATACTGATTCCGATCTCTTGTTATTGTTTGTTTGCTTTGAACATTTAATCATTTATTTGTACCACTACCACTCAATTGTGTATTAAATTTCATTCAATTATGACGATTCCTTCATGATGTTGCAATTTTCACAAACATCAGTTTATATAAGCAATTAGATACTGATATCAATAGACTTAATATGTAACATTCATATTTTATTAATTTATAAAAATAATCATTCTTTATAATTTATTTTTCATTTAGTCAGGGTAATAAAAAGTTGTATAACTATATTTGTATGCACTAATTAAATTAAATATTAATCCATTTTTTAATGGAATTTCATTCACAGTAATATGTTGATAAAATTGAATTAATAATATAATTAAATTTTATTGACACCTTTAAAATAGATTATAACGAATTTTAAAAGATTTCTTTGGCATCTTGTATGCTTTAAGTATTTTCAGACATATAAATTTGTATAAAAGATATTTTATAAAAAAGAACGAATAGTTTGAATAAATTGCATTTTTAACAAAATGATTTAATTTAATTCGAAATTTGACAGAGAAGGAATAAAAAAGAATAGTGCTTAACCCCTTCCAAATCAACAGTAATTTTATAAAAGTAACAATTTATATTTAATTAAAAAACTGTACTAAAAATCAAAGAAGACACCATCTTCCATGGCAGGCCAAGTTCACTTATTAAAGCGATATTCCTTTTTAAAGAAATTAAAATATTTGATTTTATAATACAATGCTTGCTACCAAACAATGACTCATTACGTATTAAAAACATATTAATCATACTTTTATACAAGTGGTTATAAGTGTAAGTTTATCTTTGAATGAATGCTATAATTTATATAATTAAAAAATTAAAATTAAAATTTTAAAAATTCATATGTGATATACATTTTTTTTAAACCGTGAAAAAGTTTTATTGTAAAAATATTATAACAAAAAATTATTTAACTGTAAATTGAAATTAATTTTTTGTTATCTGATTGAAATAATATTATTAATAAATAAATTGTTTCTAAAAAGTTTGCCTGCAGAAAAAGTATATTGCATTATTTACTACTATAATTTACTACACTAATTAGGGAAAATTAAATTAATATTGCTTAAAAGTATATGAAATTTATGAATTTAGAGGTTAAAAATACATAGAATGTTTTATGAATTTTTATGTTTTTCTATTTTCAACTAAAAATTATTAAAATGATTGAAATGAAATGAAAAAGTATACATCATAAAATATCATTTTATATAAAAACACATAGAATATGTCATAAAATATCATTTTATCATGTATTTCTGTAATACATGATAGAATGATAATACATGATAATTCACTTTTAAGATTGTATTTAGTTGACATCAAAATTTCTTGTAAAGATTACAGAATTTAAAGTTTCTTTCCGTCTGGCCATCTAGAAATAAAATTTAAAATTACCTACATGAAATAAAAAAATTATATTTCATTGTTAATAATTAATTTGCATAAACCAATCCTTTGCTTTATATAATCACGTATTTATAATTAAAAATATATATCACCCACTATCATCCTCCAATATCTAGATATAAGTTTGTTTTCTCTCTTGAAGATATACACTCAAGAGCCAAAACATTATGACCACCTGTCAATAGCGAGTTGGCCCACCTTTGGCACGCAACACAGCTTCAACCCGCCTTGGCATGGATGCCACAAGTCCTTGGTAGATGGCTGGAGACAGATTGTACCAGATGTTTAAGCAACGGTCACGCAAATCCGAGATATTGCGAATTGGTGGTCTTTGAACTCTGAGCTGCCGTCCCAGGACATCCCAAATGTGTTCTATCGGATTGAGATCCGATGAGTTAGGCGGCCAGGACATTAACTGGAATTCAGCTTCATGTTCCTGGAACCACTCCAACACAATTTTAGCCTTGTGACAAGGGGCGTTGTCCTGTTGGAACATTCCATTTCCAGCTGGAAAAACGGAGTCCATGTAAGGATGCAACTGGTCCGCAATGACGTTCAGATACCATGTAGCATTCATGGTCTGCTCTACCACAACCACAGGTCCCAGAGACGCCCAAGAGAATGTCCCTCAAAGCATAATACCGCCACCACCGGCCTGTGTA